TATTCTCACATTCACTGAAGACATCTAGGGTTGCCAGCTCCATCTACAGAAGCTGGAGGTAATGGTGGTAAATGTCTAAGACTTGCATCACTTTAGTCATTCATTTTGAGCTGACTTGGCCATATAACCAAAAATCTTTTCTAAGCAGCATTAAACGTGAACCACTCACTTATTCTGTCTGTTTTATCAGAAAAGTGACAGGCTGTTCTCAGAGACATCATGATCAAACAAAGCATGGTGGTGACACATCTCATGGAGCTTGTATACAGTTGGGACACCAGTCTGAGGACCTGTACATGCCCACTGAACAGTGTCATAAGCCTTGGCTTTGTTCCTAGGTATAAGTATTAACTCGCTTCACTTGTCCGATGGGAACCTAACTCTTCTCAGACTGTAATCAAGCCCTTCATGTGAAAGGAGGGAGCGGGCAGGGATACTTGGCTGGTAATTATTACTTCTCTTCAATACAACATGGGACTAAGTGGGCTGCCATCACCAGTCATCTGTGTGACTTCAAATTGTGGACAGTTATCATTGACTTTACGCTGAAACCATGAGTGGGAAATCCTGTTTTATTTGGGGAATAATAGGCAACATATTCTTTGGACCTGTTTCATTGTTGGACACAGTCATAAAGTCTAAAGTTTGGATTCCTATTTGTTGTTGTCACATGTTTGTTATGGACAAATTGAGAATATTTGTATTCATACTGACATGCACTCTGTGCTGTGTGGTGCAGCACTGGATGGACAGATGTTTTCAGTTTTCCGGTGAATTGTCACTTCAAATACATTCTTTGCCCCAATTGCAAAATACAAAATGTAACTTTTTGACGGTATAAGATTCTATACAGAAATGTCGTTAACAATATCAGGGTATTATAGTAAAGTAGTTACCATACATAAAGTATCCTACCTATCATATGACGAACCAGCTTCTAAAGTGCCGTCAAACAAATCAAAGGATTACATCAACCTTGAAGAAGAATGCAGCCATTTGAGTTTTTGAGGTTGGATTTTGGTGTGAGATAAGCATTTTCCTAATGTTTTGGAACTGATATATTTTGGATTTTGTCCTTTTGTATAGTAAAAATAGAGTTTTCTGCTGGTCTACTGTATAATTTCAAAGAACACTGTTAGAAAATAAGACCATGCTAAAAATCCTTCTGTATGTTTCATTGGAATTTTTAGTGAGGTCTGTACATTCATAAATATCTTGTTTACTTGTGAAGTTACAGCTTGTGCATTGGTCTTTAAGTACCAGTATGTAGATGTCATAGAGTATCCTGACACACTGACAGATCTGCTTGCGTCAGACAGGGCCAGCAGGTTGTCATTGTGTAAACAATTAAGTCTTTAACAATGACAAGACATGGTATAAACATTGTTATTGCAGACACAATGTGAAAACCTACACCAGATTAGCCTAGAACGCCCTCTCATTGATGCATGAGATGTGTCATCTATGTGAGAAGCAGGTTAGTATCTGTTGTACCTGTGTTTTGCCCAAGGCAGCAGTTGCACTTAGGCTTTAGTGACAGTCCTTACCAGGCTTCCAAGGTGCTGCCAGTAGCTGAACAAAGTTACAGTCCTTAGGAATGCCAGGATCCTGTGATCTTGATGAGCTGTTTATTATCTCATTCATGGAAATGATACTATAAATTTCCATTATGAACATTTGCTATACATATTCAGGAGAAACAGTGACGACGAATCAGCTATGACTGATGATGGATTGATTGAAAACTGTTGAAATCAGGTGATCTTAATATCCCCAATGATTTCTTGATCAGTGAATTATTTGTATGAGTGAGTTTGTTCCGTGTACCTGCATCTTCAGTTGTTCTCTGTGTTACATACATCTCCACTCTGGTGATCAGCACCAGGACTACTGTAGCTGCCTTTGTCATGGCCTCCTTTACACTCACTCACACATAACCTCTCTCGGCTTCAGCCACGTGACAACTATTTCATCCTGCTTTAATAGTTTTATTAAATTTGAATGTGAACATTAAGGATTTACGCTATGATTATGAAAACACATGTCATGAAAGCCCATCTAACACTGCATAGTTAGTTTGACTATGTTCAGTTTTCTTTACTTGATCAACAACATTAAACAAGACAATGCCCATCTATGATTGGGCTACAGAATGTTGTGATTTGCAGTCAGCCTCACATCATTACTGACTCTCCATTACTAGTTCTGGCTATCGATATAGATCATAGACATTGATAAGCATTAGCTAAATATCCATCGTTTATCGTAAGTAAAAGAGAAGTAACTTTCAGCAAAAAAGCCAAAAAAGTCTGAAATAAATCAACATATTTCACACCAGTGGTGAGAGGTGACATGTTTATGCATGGATTACTAACAAAACAACATCCTGAACATAATCTAGAAGCAGCCCATGAATAAAGACATGACTTTGTGTATTTTCTGAGTAAACTAAAACTATATATGTTATCACAAAAGTTTATGTACAATATTATCGATGATATAAGTTTCATATCGGTAATCATTAATAATGTTTCCTATTGACATACCTGTGAAAACAATTAGATTCTGACACAGTTGTCATGATTATGAACTAGAACCGGGCTAGGACTGGTTCCCAGAAATGTATTATTATTGATAGGTCAGTCTTGTTGACGTGAGATAATTATGTTTCATCATACCCAGACAGTGTTGTTTATTACGTCAGTCACTGGTTTGACCGGTCCATAATTGATTGCTTCAGAGACTGCTGTCATATAGCTGGAATATTGCTTAGCACAGAGTTACACAACAAAGGTTATGAAAGGTCTCTTCGTATATTCTAGACTCTCTGAAGGTTTACTAACTTGCTGGCTCTTTGATATCCTGATGTCACCTGAGTCACTACCTGTCAACCGTGCTGAACTTGCTGGACTAATGACAGGATCAGTTTCTGCATGGTGGGGCAATTTTCCATTTCTGTACATATTACTGTAAATTGGATATTTTCATTTAAATCCCTTCTTCCCGGTGTTAGACCAGACAAGTCAAGGCATGCTATGATGAAGAGAGACAATTGATTCTGAGGACAATAGTTGGCATTGATCGAACGCAAAGATGAACACGACACCCGAACAGTCACAGAGGTTCAAATGTGAAAAAACTTTCTTCTTTCCCCCTCAAACACGGGAGATGTACCAGAATGAATATATGCAAAAGACTGTTAACAGGTTTGACCATCTCATCACAAAAGGTAACCATGTTCGACCATAGTGTTCTGTGTAACGAGGTATGCAGGTAAGTTCAGGTACATTGGAGCATCCATCATCAGCTGCATCCATGCTTCACATCCATGGAGCAGTCTCAAGACGGCCACAAGCCTGTCACTGTAACCTGCTTGCTAACTGGCAGTGGAAATCACCTACATTTAACCATAACCTGGCAGTAAGGAAGGTCGAATAGAAATTGAACTTTGCCAGTCCTCGGCATCTCTTGTCCATCAGTTGGTGATAATGTGTGTATAATGGATATGATGTCTGCTAAATGGGTGTTTCCTTATCAGCTACGATATCCGATCCAAACAAGATCTTGTCTTTACTTGTCTCCATACACACAGGTGAAGTGTAATGAGATTTAATTTGATATTAGCAGTAGATATTGGCAGAGAAGGGTGGGGGGTCAATATTTGTGTTGTCTGGAAGAGTTGAAGCTGAGGGGTGGGGGTGGGGGGATGTATTGATTGATCGTCACGCTGGCGGACATCTCGCTCTGTCACAACATGCCGCGGTTTGCTGGATGCTCCTCATTATTCGCTATATTGTGGATGGGTCTTTGTTCTGAACAACTCACTGTGCTCACAAAGGGAAGAAATCAATTTATTCATGGTTTCAAACATGTTTGAATAATTTTGAAGCATGGTTCTGTTACTAGTAAGTTCAACTACAAATCAGTTGCACTGTGATTTTAATGCCTGCTTAAAAAAATGTACAGTCTCATGTTAATAGTAGTTATCTTTGTGATGACTTGTAATTGACCGAGATATATGAATCATGGATATGATCCTCTGTAGCCATTATAGGTACCTATCAGTTTATAATGTAGACTACATGCTGTGTTATATCTGATAAATGTTGGTTCTGTGCTGCGTAATAATGGTGAAACATGCTGCAATAGGTATCCAACTTAAAGTAGTCAGCAGGCGCAGAAATTACACTTGAAAGACCTTTTGTGAAGGTGAACACTTTAGACGTCAGACATTGTTGAATTTGTTGTGTACCCCAAACTCTCCAATCCGGCATCCCAGTGAACATTTTGGAGAGCATTCTGTGAATTCTGTCAGTCGTTTGCTCAGGTCGGCCATGTTTTGTTACTGATTGTGTGACTCTTCCCTGTCTTTGTCTGACTGGGCCAACTGACCCTGGTACCCTGTGAGCTGTGAAACTTACAGATTCCACCCAGTAGCATCCTGACACAAACAGAAAAAACAGTTTCAGTATGTGGCTACCTTACAGTAACACGTACCTGCTCATTTGGTTGTCATAATGTTTGTAGATGATAAGGTATAGCAGACAGCATTGTAGAGATGGGTGTATTGAACCACAGCTTTTGACAGGATACAGTGAGCTGTCAGTGGATGGAGAAATGAATGGCACACACTGTACCCTAAACCAAGGCTTGATGCAGGGTCCTTGAGATCTTCTGTTGGAGTATTTGGATCCCTTAACTCTTAGGTTCCTTACATTAAGGTTATTTCAAGAACACCTTCACTTACGTGTTCTATTCCTTACAATGTATTCAGTTGTGTCACTACAGCAAGTTTCCATAACTACAGCCTGGTTGTGTTATCTCACACATGCGAAGCCTTTATTAACTGTTTAGTCTCGGGTTAATCCTTGTTCTGACAGCATTACTTTCTCCCCCAGAGCAAGCTGGGATATAATCACAGTTATCTCATACCTGCAGTGATATAATAGTCTATGTTCACCATGTATGTTGCATGTGCTAATGTATACTTACCCTTGCAGTTGGTGGGATGGACAACAGCAACAGGGATGTGTCTGAGGGAGACGGCAGTGCAAGCAAGGGTGTGGCTGGGGAAGGGGGAGACATCAATGTGGAGGAGCAGCTGGTTATGGTGAGAAGGCAGTCATTCTTCCATGTTTTATCCCGGAGATTAGTATATTGTCTGTAGGGCTGGCTATCTATAAAGATCATGGAAATCGATTATCGATAAATATTGGAGAAGGAACTTTGAGCAAAAAAGCCAAAAATACCAAAAGAAGTCAACATATATCACATCAGTGGTGAGTAGTGACATATTTATGCAAGGATGACTAACAATGCAGCATCTTGAACATTATTTAGAAGCAGCTCATGAATAAAGACCCAACAATGGTAATTGTGTGAGCAGACTAAAACCTCATTTTTTCACAAATGTTAATGAATGATATTATCAGTGCTACAATATTCATATTGAAAATCGTTAATAATTTTGCTCATCAGTGATATTTTCGATTATTGATCTGTTTAGCCAGCTCTAATTGTCTGTTTATCATCTCAGTTTATCAGTTATTGGAGTGATGTAAACTTCATTGTTTGAAGGGAAACCTCTTCAGTGTATGCCCTCAGTTTACAGTAGTTGCCTCCACAGTGTATTCCAGATAAAGTAGGTCTCCAGTTGACCATTTCTTGACATGACTCAGGGAGAAGAGGTCTCATTCTGTCTCCATCTGAAGTGGGGATAAGGTGGTCACACTGGGATGTCTGAGTGACGCTGTACTCAAACATCCTGGAGAAAAGCTGACATATTGCTGGGTGGAATGATCAGGGCTACCAAAGAAAACTTTCCCACTGTGCAGAAAAACGCAGAAAAGCCCACATTAATCGTGGAAATAGCAACATAAACACATTACCTCGCTACTGAAACAGTAAAAACGGCAACCAAAAACTATGAAACTGCAACATTTTTATATCAGCGAACTTTGACCTCTACTGCGCATGCGCATTACGATCCAGGCTTCTTTCCAATTTCCGAGCAACCGTGAATCGACTCGCGTAGAAAAAGTATTAAATATGTTGAAATAATTGCTGTCAATCATTTCATACGAATGGAAAGTAAACTAAACAAGTGTGCACACAAGTATCATGATGATAAATGCCAAAAAACACAACAGAAATACTTAAAAAGGAATGTAACTTTTGTCCAAGCTGGAAAATGTCAACATGCGGTCGAGACTTCCTCTTCCATGTGCGCATGCGCAAAATCGAAGTTGCGGGCTCCTCGTTTTATGATGCAGTGTTAGCGATTTTAAGTTGCTGTTTTCACTGTTTCAGTAGCGGGGTATTATGTTTATGTTGCTATTTCCACGATTAATGTGGGCTTTTCTGCGTTTTTCTGCACAGTGGGAAAGTTTTCTTTGGTAGGCCTGATGATAGACTTCAGCATATATAAACTTTCACTTTCAGATAAACACTTTCTTAGCAGCTTCTGTTCAATGACACATTGACAGTTTTAAGTTTTAATTTCCTCTGTTCACCCAGCAGAAAATGGGTACCCAGTGAAATAAATCCTATGACTATTAACCTTCTAGCGCCTCACCTGCAACTTGGGTTATCTGGGGTAGTAATGTCCGTTAGGTTGTATGTGCTTAGAGCATGTTTGTGCGACGTGGAGTTGAGCACTATATAAGTAGCCTTATTAATTCTATGTATTGTTAGATGAGAGAGACTGTAATGGGTGGGCAGAGGTGCACATTCTGTATCAGTGCAACATGACCAACCATTCACAAAGGCTGAATGACTCAGTTATTGAATACAAGGGACACATTCAACTAACTTTCAGCTAACTTTGACTCACTTGACCATCTCAGTAGTTTTGGTAACACCTGGAATAGACTGATGGATGTAACTTGATTTGTCAGCAGCAATGAATGAGGTGAGGAAAGGTTCTCCCTCACATGCCCCCTGTGCTCTCTCCCCACAAGCAGATTAAATACTTTCTGTTTCCATAATTAGCTTGACAGATTCTCTATGCTATGCATGATAACAGCAGTGTCAGGCCGACAGATCAGGTGTACACACAGCTCTTTTGTTCTCAGCATATTCCATCTAGATACCAGCTGGGTGAAAGAGGAAAATGACCTCTGTTTGGTGGATTTCCATCAGTCATTTGTCTATTTTGCTCCACTCAAAGGGTGATGACCCACAATAACTGTCATATTGCATGATCAGAGGTTGGATATATAGCTCATCATTCCCCTTCATCACAACTAATGATAAATGGATTGGATACAGATGTATCATAGTATGTCAATTTACTGTTTAAGTGAAGAATTGATATTTTCAGGATTTTGCATGATATAATGATTTAAAGTGTAAAATCTTTCCTGGAGCTTCAAATTGAAGTCAGGGATATATATAAGCATTCATGATTACATCGGAAATTCCCAGATGTATTAAAGATGCCTGATGAGTTCAGGTGATAGTACTGGCTATGTTCTAGGAGACTCAGTCATGAGACGTTATTGCATTGGATGGGAAGGTTAGAGGAATGTAAGAATTAAGGCTGCAACGAATACACTATGTGGCGAATATGATACGTATCATGAATACTGGGTAACGAATACGAATAATTATTCCCGAATACAATGTTGTAGTTAAGTGATTGATGTACAATATGGAAAGCCCATGTTGACAGTTTTGATTTGTCACAGCAATAACCAGTGATCTCATGACAATCAAATTTGGAATGTAATAGTTATTATCGACAGTACCATGTGCAGTCTTGGCAAACTGACATGACTTGCACTACTGCAATGCTAGTACATGTTCCATTCTTGCATATCTCACTTTGGAAAGGACATAAGGGTTCAAGTAAAACATGTTCCCTTAAACAAGTCGTAAATATTCGTTAATATTCGGTTCTGGTGACCACAAATAACGAATTGAATTCATGAAGAGCTACGGTTCGATTCACCGAATATGCGAGTGAATCGTTGCAGCCTTAGTAAGAATCATTGTTGACCCCTGAAAACTTTGCAGCTTAGAACATCTCTGGATCAAATCCGGAGGAGTCCGGAATACGGAGAGTCCAGTCATCACCAAGTATTAAACACTGGGACATGGAAACCCTCACATAGGGAGTCCAGTCATCACCAAGTATTAAACACTGGGACATGGAAACCCTCACATAGGGAGTCCAGTCATCACCAAGTATTAAACACTGGGATATGGAAACCCTCAACATAGGGAGTCCAGTCATCACCAGGTATTAAACACTGGGATATGGAAACCCTCAACATAGGGAGTCCAGTCATCACCAAGTATTAAACACTGGGACATGGAAACCCTCACATAGGGAGTCCAGTCATCACCAAGTATTAAACACTGGGATATGGAAACCCTCAACATAGGGAGTCCAGTCATCACCAGGCATTAAACACTGGGATATGGAAACCACACATAGGGAGACTCAACATAGGGAGTCCAGTCATCACCAAGTATTAAACACTGGGACATGGAAACCCTCACATAGGGAGTCCAGTCATCACCAAGTATTAAACACTGGGATATGGAAACCCTCACATAGGGAGACCAGTCATCACCAGGTATTAAACACTGGGATATGGAAACCCTCACATAGGGAGTCCAGTCATCACCAGGTATTAAACACTGGGATATGGAAACCCTCAACATAGGGAGTCCAGTCATCACTAGGTATTAAACACTGGGACATGGAAACCCTCACATAGGGAGTCCAGTCATCACCAGGTATTAAACACTGGGACATGGAAACCCTCACATAGGGAGTCCAGTCATCACCAAGTATTAAACACTGGGATATGGAAACCCTCAACATAGGGAGTCCAGTCATCACCAGGTATTAAACACTGGGACATGGAAACCCTCACATAGGGAGTCCAGTCATCACCAGGTATTAAACACTGGGATATGGAAACCCTCACATAGGGAGTCCAGTCATCACCAGGTATTAAACACTGGGACATGGAAACCCTCAACATAGGGAGTCCAGTCATCACCAAGTTGTTGGAAGGGTCATGCAGTAACCTGGCCCCTTGGAAGTCAGTGTCCCTGCTTTTGTGCACATTTGGCTGCTGGGAACTAGGCTTCTGTCGTGTATGTAAACATTACATGTCAAGTGGACAGACAAGCACCTGTAGTGTTTACAAACTCAAGAAATATTACTTGACTTCACAACTGTGTTGCTGACATAGACTGGGATTGTTGGGCTCATTGTGTGACATTTCCAGGATTGGTTGTATCGACTGATGCATGTCTTTGAGGCTGTGCAGAGGTATGTGACACCAGAAATGGGCTTCGCACATTGTATCCAATGTTGGGAATCGAACCTGGGCCTTCGGCATAATGAGCAAACACTTTAACCACTGGGCTACCTCACCACCCCTATGATATTACAGGGGTGATTAGCTCAGTAACTGGATAGATATACAGTCAAAACCACAGCGGAAGAAGCTGTCATACAGAAAAACTAGGAACATTAACATTGCAGATTTCTCATATGATGTCGATGCTGCTTACTTGGTCACTGCCCTGTCCAAAATCAGCAATATTGACGAGAAGGTTGCATTGTATGACCATTCTCTGGGAGTGATACTCGATACTCAAGCACCCATGAAAACTCAAACTGTAGTAGTTCGTCCTCATACATCCTGGTACAACGATGACATTCGAGCAAAGAAGAAGATCAGACATGCTTCTGAGAAACAGTGGCGTTCTACAAAGTTAGAAGTTCATCGTCAAATCTTCAAAAAGCTCGAAATGATGTCAATGATGCCTTGAAACTAGCTAAGCAGAACTTAAAATTGCAGAAGAGCATCAAGCAGAGTAAAAACAACTTCAAACAGATGTTTGCTCTAGTGAATAACTTACTTGCCCTAAGTCTAACTATAACCTTCGATCATGACGACAAAGAGGAATTGGCTGGGAGATTTGCTGAATTCTTCCACACCAAGATTCACTCCATTCGACAGGAACTGGAACTGAAACGCCAAGTTCACGGCGTCACTACACTGGAGTCTTTTGACAGTGTTTCAACAATGAATTCTCTCAACTCGCCACCTCTGGAGAGGTTCGAGGCGTAATCATCAAGTCCAA